GAATAAGGTGTATCGTGGCGGCCTGGAAGGACCTTGGTGATCTATCCTTTGCAGTCACAGCTTCAGAGATTAGACTCATGGGAAAATGAGAGCTTATGGGTTGCTAGTTTTTAATTTTTTCAAGAGAAGCCAGAAGCAAGTGTGTGTGTATAAAAGACTCCCTGATTTTTTTCAAAAAAAAAAAAAAGTAACGTATTTTGATTTTAATTTTTATTCATTGGTGTGAGGGTGTCAGATCCCCCAGACCTGGAGTTACAGACAGTTGTCAGCTGCCACTTTGGTGTTGGGAATTGATAGTGCTCTTAACCACTGAGCCATCTCTCCAGACTCTACTGATTTTCCAAATGCGGTAGTCAAAATGAAACACACCTATGGCCCAGGTTTGTCCACAATCATCATTACCTGGAGCTGGTAAGATTGATCAGTGTGTAAAGACATCTGCCACCAAGTTTGACAATCCAAGTTTGAGCATGGAACCCGAAACGGTAGAAGGAGCGAACCAGTGGCCAAGCACATTGCCCTCTGACCTATGCACATATACTGTGGCACTCACACATGCATAAGCATACTCTGAAAGACAATTTACAGAAATGTGTTTGCTCAGTGTGGTGGCACCTTTATCCCAGCACTCAGGAGACAGAGGCCACACAGCCCTACCCCATCCCCAGTAAAGTCTGTTTCCTTATTTTAATGGGCTCTCCTCAGTGTGCAATGATTGCATTTGTTACAATATAGTCCAGTGCGGGAATGAGCAGGCAGGGCAGATATTTCTTCTAAAAGCCCTAGCTTCCAGAATTTTCACCTGAAACTAAATTATGTAACAACTATAACAAAAGCGTTCTCTGTCTCAAGACATGTCACCTCATTACTGTGACTTTCTAACAGTTCAGTGACCTCAGCCAACAGAGTCCTGACTCTGGTACATGCTTGCACGTGCCGTGTGTTATCTGACTTAAGCATCAAAACAATCTCATTGCAGGCAGGAGCTAGAGGATGCTGCTCTTGCAAATCACCCCACCACTTCTGTGACTCAAGACAGCCATACCTCAGCCAGGCGCGGTGGCACACACACCTGTGATCCCAACACCTACATAGGCCAAGGCAGGCGGGTCTCTGTGAGTTCAAGGCCAGCCTGGTCTACAAAGCGAGTCCAGGACAGTCAAGGCTACACAGAGAAACCTTGTCTCGAAAAACCAAATCAAACATGGGTTAAGCTTTGCTGAACAGTAGTGCAAACCCAAACCCACAGAAGTACCTTCCCACTGGGTGCTTCTGGCATTACTGAGACAGGAAGAACAGGGCTGGATCCTCAAGCTCAACCCCCAAGCTTCTGTTTACATTAAGCAACCTGACTTAAAGAAACACTGGGGCAAATAATTTTTAGAAAGAAAAGCTACGAGGGACATGCTTTTGTCAAACACTGGATAGACTCTAATATCCAATCAGGCATCTGCAGAAGATTATACATCAAGCCAATGAAGCAGGACGGAGGACCCAGAAACAAAGCCCAGTGTCCATGAGAATTTAATATGTGGTGACGGCGACCGTCCAACTCAGTGGGTAAAAGCAGGGAGTTTTGTTTGTTTGTGGCATCTCTTTTCCAGTGCTGGGGATGGAACCCAGGGCCTTGCACATTTCACACAGCTCTCTACCACTAAGCTACATCCTGTGGGTATAAGAGTATAGAATATGAAGTTGAATTTCTATGCCAAAATAATTTCAGGGTTTTAAAAATGTACAAAAAAAAAAAATCGAGATAGAGACATGGCTCGGTGCGAGAGGACACACTCAGCAAGAGCCAGGGTCTAGTTCAAATCTGTCTCCAAACAGGAAAACTGAAAACACAGACACTCTTCAAAAGTGTGTGTGTGTCTGAAGTTCTGTGATTTAGTCAGTAAGCATAAGAGCCAGCAAAGCACAGGTGTATTGAGATATACATGTTTCAAATAGCAGCTGAGGTAGAAGAAATTGAGAAAAACCATAACAAATCCACATCTGAGTTCTTTTAAATTATAAGCAACGTATACATACATATACATGTATGTGTATATGCATGTATGTATGTGTGTGTGTGTGTGTGTGTGTGTGTGTGTGTATTTGATTCGCACAGGGGCAAAATTAGAAGGCCTGCAAATTTGTGAGAAGACATTTAAACTCACTAGTCAGTCTCTCAGAAAACAGAAAATGTGGTACCAATGAGGTTTGAGTCCCTCAGCCACACAAGCATCAAAGAGTAATAAATATCCTTTAGTGTAATAACAAAGGGTACCCTCATTTTTATTTATGGAAACAATGACTATACAGTGCTTTTTGAAAAAAACCTGGGAACATTTGTCAAAGTTAAATAGTCACATGCTTTTGACCTAGAACACACACTTTTGGAATCTACTCATAAAAACAAAAGCCCCAGTACACAAGGACACTTATCCAAGGTCAACTGTGGCATTATTTAATATGCCAGGAAACTGAAAAGTAAGTCATGTTACATACACACCATGAAAGAAATAGAAAACAAAGTAGCATTACAACAGTTACCTTGAGGAGGTGCTCATTCTTCTGAAGTAGTTATTAGTAAAAGCAAAAAATATGGAAAAGAGTATATTTATATAATCATCTTTCTTCAAAACTAATAATCTACAAAAGCTTCTGCCTAGAAGTGTGTATGTGTATCCTTAATACACACCCAGAACTATATATAGATGAATTTAATATTCTCAGAGACAGATGTTAATTTGATGCACAGTTGCTAACAGGAGCATAGAAAAGCAAGAAAGGAGATAAGGGGGAGACATAAAAAGGAGGAAGAAAAATAGGCTATACAAAGAAACACTTCATCAATGAAAATATTTGTATATTGTGCATGTGAAGAAATAATTTTGTAAATCTAATGAAAGTGAAACCTATGTATTTAAAAAAGAAAAGAAAGAAAATTACTTCAAACTGATGTTGACTCTGCCTTGAGCTTTGCGTGGACTAAAAGGACCGCATGACGAATCCCATCAGATGCTGAGGAGGACTTAAATTTGCCTAATGGCGGGTGCTTCCCAGAGGATGGCGTCAATGTGGGCAAAGCGTCCCACTGTTGATGAGCGATGCTAACTCGGTTGTGTGTTTGTGGGATATCCTGTGTTAGGATGTAAGTCTCTAATCAATCAAACCCACTCTGCCCTACTCTTCAGGATCTTGTTAGAGACAGTAACCCCATCGCCCCTTGTTCTCCTGTGCCGAAAGCTATACCGTCTGGTTGAGGCCCCCAAAAGGAAGAGGGCTTGATTAAAGCTGTATTAACTAATAATTTTAATAGTGATAGTTCAATCCAGGGTTTCTTCTACAATGAGAATTAAGTCTGGTAGAAAACTGTAGTGAGAATTAATGTACATTTGGAACTGGGTCTTCTATAGGAAAAAAAATTGGCCATTTCACTAAATAGCTTTGAAGAAGCTTTTGAACTCTACTGTAGCCTGGTCAATTAGTAAGTAGTTTTCCTAGAGCTACTTGTAAATTGCTTTTCTTTTCTCATGAGCTTCATTATTCCTATAAACTCTTTTCAGCCATTAGCCAACCACACTGCAAGAAAGGAGAGGAGCTCATAGAATTCATATTCATTTCAATTAGTCCTTCAGCTTCCTCAGTCCAGCTGTTGACACTAAAAGAACAGTTGGCTGAATCCAGTATCTGCCCTGAAGAGCTTAACCAATGACATGAGAAAATCCATCTCTACTCTCTACAACCCAATGTTCCCCTATATTCTGGAGAATCCTACGTTGGAACATAGGATTTCAGAGAGATCTTTTCTTTTGCCCAATATCACATTACAAGAACTGACTAGTTCTCCCACTGAAGTATAATCTGTAGGTGACTAGAAATAATATACTGTAAAAACAACACCTAGTATCTGGAACGCACTCAAATTCAATAAAAATGTGTGATTTTAATAAATGGATACGTAAAATGAGGGAAATGAAATATCTCATATTCTTCACAGTATATGAGACTCCAAATGTAAGAGCCTTTTTTTTTTTTAATTTGGAGTTAATTCTGTCCCTCTGCCCAAATGTCATATAGTAGATTCAGTACCTAATAGTGAGCTTGTGTGTGCTGGAGAGATGGCTCAGAGGTTAAGAGCACTGACTGCTCTTCCAGAGGTCTACGGTTCAATTCCCAGCGCCCACATGGTGGCTCACAACCATCTGTAGCTTTAGTTTCAGGGAATCCTCCAAGGACATAGCACACATGCGGCGCACAGACTTACATGCAGGCATCGTCCTGCGTGTGTGAATGTTACAGGAGGCCGTTTCATGCACAGCTCTGCTCTCAGCAGAACAGAAGCCCACAGGAGCTGGAGGACTGTGGGGTGGTGAAAGCAGGTTTTCAGTCTGCCTGCCTGTGTTTCCCTGGATCTGGAAATTCTAACAATATCAAAGCATGAAAGAACTTGCAGTCGTTTGGCCCAGTGATTTCCAAACTGTATTTTAACGTGAGAACTAATTTAAAAAAAAAAAAAAAACACACAAAAGTTACACAGAAGCTCAGTATTTCTAAGCTTATATTCATATAAACAAATACAAGCATCAGAAAGAAGGGAGGGAGAGAGGAGAAAGGGGTGGGCCCGGAGCAAAGGTGGTAGGGCTGGGGAAAGCAGGACGAAGCAGGCTGGACCGGAAATGAGCAAAGAGCACTGCAGAAGGCTCCCTCTCAGGCCTTGACCTCTTAGGCTGCTTCTTTGCCATCCTTCTTGCTCCCTCACCTGTATAGCCACTCCAGTGTTCCCACTGCACCACTGATACCAGAGGCCTTTAAACATGACTACTTCCTTCTAAGAGAAGATTAAGGCTTGACAGTTCGGTCATACTCTCCTTCAGTATGGCAACTCCTTCCTGCCAGAACAAACACACCCTTCTTCTCTTTCCCGTTAATAGATGGTGCGCATTCTCCTCAGGTTATCATCCATTCAGCCGTCTCTCCTTAAAGTGAAATCACCATAATTTTATTTCGTTTGTGTGGCTTTATTTCAAGAAAATGTTTTTTTTTTTTTTTAAACACAAAATGTCAAAAGCACTTATTTCCAATAACAAGGAACAGAAGTTTTAATTTTAAAGACATTGGGCTTCCTAATTACACATCTGGACTTCACTGAGGGGTGCTAGCGCAAATGGGTGAATCAGAAGGGGGCATCACCAAGCAGTCTCAGCTGAAACAAAGATCCCGTTCCGGAGGGGAGGAGGCAGATGCAGTTGACGGAAGGCGAGGCTACGTGTACGGAAGAGCAGGGGCAACGCTATGGATCTGAGATTGGCAGGGCGACGACTGCCGCGCAGCTCTTCCTCCTCCCAATTAAGGTGTCTCTCTTGAACTGATTGAAAGCTGTTGGAGAAGTATACTTTCTTCAAGATGGTTGTGCTCAGTTGGGGGTCTTTTTATTAAGCTGAAGTCTCATCATTAGCCCTGACTGGCACCAGCTGCTGTATAAATTCCACTTTGACTCGGATCTCCACTGGTATTCCAAACGTGGCAGGTGAGTCTCCAAAGCCTGAATCATGAAGTGTGAATAATTAGCATCTGATAAACGCGGAATCGAAAGGACTCTCATTAGAAGACGCAGCACCGGGGACGGAGTTCCGCTGCAGCTTCTCAGACACCGAACCAGATAGGACTCAATTTTGTTTTTTCCTAACTCCCCCCAATACCTAATATTTTTCTACATTTGATTATAATGGGAGCATTAGGTCATGGATCAAATACTTTGCCTTTCAGAAAAAAAAGAAAAAAAAAGTAAATGCTGAATCCAAACTCTGTACATCCTAAATATTACCTACCTGTGACTCCGGGTAGGACACCAGGTAATGCGGAGTGAGCCTGTGGGAGTACTCTAAGCAGACTAAAGCTACCGCTCTGAGGACAAAGGAGAAAATTCCCCATTATGTGTCCAATATTATTTCTGTGAGATAAAAAAAATGTAATAAAAATAATAATAATAATAAAAAACAGAGAAAGTCTCTTTACAAATAATGTGGGATCGGGCAAAACACTCACCTCATGCCCAGCATACGCTGAGTAGAACTTAGACCTTATGCCTCAGAGGTCGTATCTTAAACTTAATTAGAATGATGAAACTGTCATGCTGTGATGGTAAAAGAAACAGGACCGAGCTCAACTTCTGAGCCTTGACTTCTTTTTCTGTAAAGTGCCTCCAACACCGGTGTTAAGCCCCTGGGGTGCTTGACGCCCTCACACAGTGTATTTATGGCATGTAGCATGAGGATAGCACTGAGCGTCTGTTTTCTAGTTCTGGAAAACAAATGACCACAGACTGGTGGTTAAAAGCAACCAGTACTATCTCATAGTCTCCTCTGGCACTGGAAGTCACAAGCAAAGGGTCTCTCTAACCATTCCAGTCTGTAGGCTTGACTGGGAAAGTGATCTCTTCCAAACTCACCCAGGCCTTTGCAGACTTCATCGTCTGTAGCTCCAAGAGAAGGGATCAGGCTTCTTACCCTTTAATGGCCGAGTCTGCTGGGCTGCCCCATTCAGTGCACTTCCGTAGTGTTGCTCTTCATCAAGATGGCAACCAGTAAGTCTGCTAGGAAGACATTCGTACATGGTTTAACTTGGTCACGGGAGGACGCCCTGCCACCTTTATCCTAGTGTGCAGCTATAAGTAAGCCACAGATCCTGTCCACATCCAAGGGTGAGCACCAGGGAGCAGAGACCACTGCGGACTAACCGGAGGCTACTGGTCTCTGTACCACATGTAGTGAATTAATGAATCAGTGAATGCGTAAGCAAATAAATAAACAATTGTGTGAAACTCGGTATGGATGATATACAAGTCATAAAGCCTTTAATAGCAAACCTACAGACACATGAAGAATAAATGGGGTTGAGGAGGGCAATAAAATACCAAGTTGATAGCTCACATGACAATGTGTTAAAGAGTTAGGAGACTCTTTGGGATATAGAAAACGTGAGAGTAAATTCTCAAAGAGAATGAGGAGTGGGACCCTAAAAGAAAGAGAGAGCTTTTTTGGTTCCTCTTCAGGGTGCTTTCTTTTCTTAAAACTGGGTCAAAAGGAGAAATTATAAATGAAATAAAATGACCAAATATATTACATATATTTTAAGCCATCAAAATAGTAAAGTTAACTAGCAAGAAAAACAAAACACAGATAATATTAGAGTTACCTCTTCCAAGGATGGGAAAATGTATTAAAACATGCATATGAGCTCTACCAATACCCCTTGTGGAAGTGGGCAAAACAGCATGGCTGCATGCTTTGTGCCCAGGAACATAAGGGATTTTAAGATCTGAAAATAATTTACAACTAATATAGAGGCCAGTGACATTGCTCTGGAGGTAAAGAAACTCACTGCACAAGCCTGACAGCCTGGGTTCCAAGTCTGATCTCTGGATCCCACATAAAGGTGGGAAGAGAGCATGAGCTCCACAAAGTTGTCCTCTGACCTCCACATGCACATCTACACACACACACACACACACACACACACACACACACACACACACACA